CCAAAAACACAAGGGATTTGCCACATTTCTAAAATTCGGTGGCACCCCTCACGCAGATCGGCGAGGTCATGGCCCAAAAACACATAGGATTTGCCACATTTCTGAAATTCGGTACACCCCTCACGCAGATCGGCGGGGTCATTTTTGCTACATTTCTGAAATTCGGTGGAGGTGCTGCATTTGTAAAATTCGGTGGCACCCCTCACGCAGATCGGCGGGGTCAGGGCCCAAAAACACACAGGATTTGCCGCATGTTTTAAATTCGGTGGCACCCCTCACGCAGATCGGCAGGGTCAGGGTCCAAAAACACAAAGCATTTGCAACATTTCTGCAATTTCCTGACACCCCTCACGCAGATCGGCGGGGTCAGGGTCCAAAAACACATAGGATTTGCCACATTTCTGAAATTCGGTGGCACCCCTCACGGGGATCGGCGGGGTCAGGGTCTAAAAACACACAGGATTTGCTACATTTCTGAAAGCCGGTGGCACCCCTCACGCAGATCGGCGGGGTCAGGGTCGAACAACACAAAGGATTTGCCACATTTCAGAAATTCGGTGGCAACCCTCATGCAGATCGGCGGGGTCAGGGTCCAAAAACACATGGGATGTGAAACATGTTTGAAATGCGGTGGCACCCCTCACGCAGATCCGTAGGGTCAGGGTCTAAAAACAAAAGGGCTTTGCCACATGTCTGAAATTCGGCGGCACCCCTCACGCAGATCGGCAGGGTCAGGGTCGAAAAAACAGATCGGTCCCGACACTGCTTCACGGCAAAGCCAAAGCCTCATGACTTCGCTCTTCCATGGCCCATTCTCAGAGAGAGGGGGCCTGCGGCAGGGGGCGAAGGCCTTATGGATAATTAGACATGAAAGGATTCTGGCCCCCCCTAAAATCAAAGAACCTTCGAATGCTTAGAAACGAACAATGTGTAGTCGCGGCGCAAGCGGTCGCTCCGCTCGGGGGTGACCTGAAGGGGCTGCGAATGGGCGCCTTGGCACCACGGAGGCAGCAAGGGAGCGAGGGCGGCCGGGGAAGGAGGGCCGGTCGGTCGGAAGCCGTAGGCCGCGGGCAGCCCATGGGCGCGCGCGCGGGCACGCAGGTCGGCGGCGCCGCGTGCCCGAAGAGATTCTGGAGCTCCGCACAAAGAGGACACTCGGAGCCTGCAGAGCGGCATGCAGGGGATACGTGGACGGAGAAGAAGAATTTGTCCACAGGACCTCGTGATGAGCGAAAAAAGCACGGGGAGTCTCACGCCAACTGCTCAGAGCGGCACGAGGACCAGAGCTCCCGTGCCACTTCAAAACGCAAGGCGGCCTCGCCTCGGCGGGCGCCGCTTCGGGGAGGGGGCTTCGCGAGTTCCTTTCGGAGAGCCCGTGATGGGGCGGAGAGGAAGGAGGGGGAAGAGGGGGGGGCGGGGCAAAAAGGGCGGGGCATCACGACTAGTCATCAAAGTCTTCCAGGGTCAATTCCTATCACGGACAACATCGTATCCACCGCGCACGAAAGTCTTCGACGCGCGTTCCTCCGACGCCAGGGCGGAAAGCCGTGAAAGAAACCCTGTCCACCGGAAGGAGTCTGATAACACCGTGCGAACCCACTCTTTGCACGGCCTGCCAATCCGCCGCACGTAATCTCTGGCCGCGACTGTGGCGAAGACCTCAGGATCTTCCCTAGATGCACGAGCTATTGTTTACGAAATACTTCTGTAGCGGGCTCTACGCCAGCACGCTGTAAAACAGTGGCGTTCGAGATCCTCGACACGTACGAGGGTGGGATTGCAGGAATGGTTCGCAAACACCTGGCTTGGAAACCATCGAACCTCCCCGAGTCCTCTTTCAAACAGCGGCCGGTGGACAAGCCGCAAAGGAGTGTAGACTCCACCAGCGACTGTAACACCTGCAGCTTCCACTTCCGCGATGAGGACTGGTGTGTCCGACTGCTCGGCACTCGGCGCTCGCCTGCCCGATTCTCCTGCTCCGCTCGGCCGTCATGTTCCCGTCGGACGTCAGAGTCGACCCGAGATTGAAGGGGCCCTGGGACACACAAATAAATGCACACAAATAGAAACGTTCCCCATATTTTGCCATATTTTCTGAGCTTCTGTCTTCCCCCCCCACTTCCCATATTTTCCCATATTTTCCTGGGAATCGACGATTCATTG